ATTGGGTTTTAAAGAAAACGCACCTCTGAGGTGATGCAAATAAGATGTATTAAGGTGACTCGACCCAGTTTTTTTTGGGGGGGGGTACCATCCTACTTTGAAGCTCTCTGGTATGCCCATCTTAACTTTTATCGTAAGTCTAACACATAGAATGGATAACATATAAATCAATCTACAATATAACATAAAATTTTTGGCGATTGGAGTAAATGTCACGTGGTTATAATGCCACACCCCTTTGAGGTCTGAGTTGAAAATCTGCTGTTGGTGGTATTTTTTTGTGAACATCTCTCGGCTACACATAGTTCGCATTAGTGCCTTGCGCTGAACAGAGTTTCACCAAAATTGCAAAGAGCCAATTCGAGAAATTCAGCGGTTTCCAAATTTAGGTCATAATTTATGCGAAAATGATAAGCAAACTTTACACGGATTATATCTAATAAACTATGAGATTTATCCCTTTATTTTGGGGATCATTATAACAGATGGGTCCTTGCATGTCAGCAAAAAGCTTTAGGGCCTTGTAAATGCGCCCTATTTCGAGCAAAGCAAACATATAGAAATTATAGTTTTAGCTATTTGTTGACGTTTGTCAGCGTTTAAGAGTCCTTCTGATGAAAAAAGCATGTTCTTACAAGTTCGTAGTTTTTTTCCCTTCAAATTTTTTCAGGGCCACAATTGATTAACTAACTACCCGGATTCTGAATTTCATGGTCATTGAAAAACTGTGACATTTTTTCTATAAGCCCAAACTTGAGTAAACATTGAAGATTTTTAGCATTTTTGGCAGAGTTTGTGCTTTGGGAGTTGTCTATTGTTTCTAGTCTGTCAGGATACAGCATTCTTGTTCAGCACGCCTGCAATGACAAGCTTGGTTGACTTCCAAATGCTCACTGAGATATGATAATTTTGGTACAGTGAGACAGGCCATCGCGTGATACATAGAGGTTTAACTCACAATTTTTAATCAATTCTCGTGCTTCTTGTGTCTTTGCAAAAAAATCAAGTAGGGCTACACACTAAATCTACTTACTAGTAAAGAAATATCATTTTTTCATAGGTGTAATGCGAGCCAATAATTAAACCAACTCATGATGGGAATCCCTTCTATTTTCTCACACTAAATTATCATATCTCGGTGAGCATTCGGAACTCAGCCAAGAGTGGTCATTCCACGTGTGCTGAACAAGAATGCTGTATAATGACAGACTAGAAACAATGGACAACTCCCAAAGCACAAACTCAACCAAAACGCTAAAAATCTTCAATGTTTACTCAAGTTTGGGCTTATAGAAGATAATGTCACAGTTTTTTAATGACCATGAAATTCAGAGTCCAGGTAGTTAGTTAATCAATTGTGGCCCTGAAAAAATTTGAAGGAAAAAAAACTGCGAATTTTTAAGAAAATGCTTTTTTGTGAGAAGGACTCTTAAATGCTGACAAACGTCAACAAATAATGAAAACTATAATTTCTATATGTTTGCTTCGCTTGAAATCGCGGGCATTTACAAGGCCCTAGAGCGTTTTGCTGACTTGCACGGACCCATCTGTTATAATGATGCCCAAAATAAAGGGATGAATCTCATAGTTTATTAGATATAATCATGTGAAGTTTGCTTATCATTTTCACATAAATTATGACCTTAATTTGGAAACTGCTGAATTTCTCGAATTGGGTCTTTGCGATTTTGGTGAAACTCTGTTCAGCGCAAGGCACTAATGCGCATTATGTGTAGCTGAGAGATGTTCACGAAAAAATGCCACCAACAGCAGATTTTCGACTCAGACCTCAAAGGGGCGTGGCATTATAACCACGTGACATTTACTCTAATCGCCAAAAATTTTATGTTATACTGTAGATTGATCTATATGTTATCCATTCTATGTGTTAGACTTACTATAAAAGTAAAGGTGGGGATACCAGAGAGCTTTAAAATAGGATGGTACCCCCCCTCCCCCAAAACCAAAAAAAAAAAAAAAAAACTGGGTCGAGTCACCTTAAGGTATTTAAAAGTCACAACTATTCACAAGAAGAAGCAAAGTGTCAATTACAATTGAAAAGCTTGTAATTGGACTTGAGGTCATTAAACAGTGTCAAATATTGCAGAGTTATATAAGATGGGGAGTAGACTTCTTGGTGGCAATTTCGTTGGTGGCGAGATGACCGTAAGCCACAGTGGAACCTCAGTATAGCAAAGGGCCAAGGGACTGGCAAGATTTGTTCGTTATAACAAGGTTTTGTCACATTGAGAGCCTTTTTCACATATTTCACTATCAGTGGGGTAAAATAGAAATTTTCCGTTATACTGAGGACTTCATTATATAGAGGTTCATTAAATTGAGGTTCCACTGTATTTGTAATTTGGCACACATGAATAGGGTTTATATATTATTATAATGATAAAAACAAGGAGTCATTAAACATTGGTTTCACTGATTTTTGTCCTTAATTTGATTGTAGAAAAAAGAAGCAGTGCGTAGGCTTTCTCAAGGGTCTGGAAATGGTTTTAGACAACAGCTTCCACGAAGAAAATCTTCAGGTACATACAATGTAGTTACACGTGGTGTACCTAATTGATCATTTTGGTATATCAAAATCGATTGAATTTAATCAAATTATTAAGTTTGAATGCCAAAAAGAATCAAACAAGTTCTTGCATGCTGCATGGGAATTTGATGTTGTGCCAAACTGGAGACAATAGGAAATCCCAAAGCAAAAAAATTATCCAAATCTATCACATTGCTTCAATTATAAATCAATTTTGTGCCTTCGTCATGCAACTTAAAATGTTTCAATGGACATGAAAATCGGGCATTTTATAGTACACTGATCAATTGCAGCACTGAAATTTTTTAAAGAAAATCTATCGTTGAATATTAGTTTAATTGCTGTTTTCATGAAAGTAGCTTTAGAAGTTACAAAAAGAGGTCAATGTGGCGCTTTACCCCGATTCACCTTTTTCATGTTTACTTGCGTTTAGCCAATTGTAGAGCGTATAAGGGTCATTTGCAAAACGAATGAGCAATAAAACCTTTCCGGAAACATCAAAAAAGTAGCAAATTTGCTTGCATAAAGTCATGCATAATTTATACGGAAAAAAATCTTTCAGGTTCTATAGAGTTTTAAGAACAGTATTTAAAGACACTTTGAAACGTATTGTCTTATGTTAACGTTCGTGGGTTTCATACACGTCATATTTCGTAAAGGTTTCAAGTCCAACTATTTAGGGCAGAAATTCAATTTAAAGCTAAAACTATTGTCAGGTCATTGCCATGTGATATTTATTCTGATCACCCAAAATATAATATCATAAATAACAATTATTCACGGAAGTGGAGGTGGCTAGTGGTGGGTATATTTACCGAGGCCGCGTTAGCGGCGAGGTTAATTTTCCACCACTAGCCACCGACACTGAAGTGAATAATTGTTCTAGTACAACTAAAACAGTGAAATAATTGAGCACAAAAATGATGATTTTTGACTCATTTACTGTTGCCTGCAACGATTACAATTTTGGCGCGCAATGACCGAATGGTCACAGGCGTCCCTTTTTCTAGCCTGCGTGCAGACGATAACTAAACTCTGATTAGTACCGTCTGCGAAGCAGCGCAGAGATCCTTGTTCTGAACCCCCAACGGACTCAGCAAATTACCGGAAGTGCGTTTCGAATTTCCCCTCAACCTGATTGGCGATCACGACAAACAAAACAAAGGCCTTTTTTAAACTGGCCAATCGTGGCGCGTACTCAAATCTGTGTACACAGCTGGAAGTCCAGAACAAGGATTTTGGCGCTGTTTTGCAGACAGAGTTAACCAGAGTTTAATTTCGTCTACGCGCAGGCTACCCTTTTTCTTGCCGACAAATAAAACTTTTGAAGGCATTTGTTTTAGTTCTTTTTGGGGAAATTTCCCCAAAAGGAGTTGTGAATTCTTTTTGTATTTTAAATCATTCTATAAAAAAGATTATTAAATTTAGTTTTAAGCTTATTTATGAACAAGTCAACTAAATAAAGTAACACAAGACTTCAGCTTAATCTGCATTTATAAACAAAAAACTTTTTTGCCGGTTTTATCAATAACTTCAAGTAAAAAAGACAAAGCTGTACCTGTTAAAACTTCCACCCCGAACTTCATCACCTTCTTCGTGTATTTCAGGAACAGCTTGCTTGATTAGTTGTGAAATTTGTTTGTTTGTTACGGCAGCAAACCAGGAAGGCATTTTGCTCGAAACGTTCGCGAGTTTGGCGTCGCTCGCTATGAGGAACTGGAGGTGAATCAGTGAATAGTGCAGGATATTCACTGATTGAGTAGCCGATCAGAGCACGCGAAAAACACTATCCACTGTTTTAGTATATACTAATAATAAAAGTTTAGTCTATGTGTAATACATGTGTTATAATGGTTTTACCATAAAGATCAGTTTGTTTAAGTGTAAGAGATTCAAAGATGGAAGGTGTTGCTACAAAATTATTGTATCAGGCTGCCTTGAAAGCTACATGTATATAAAGTTGCATTCCTTGACCTAAGATTATATCTTGACTAGGCAGCGACAGCAATAAGATCATCCAGATATTGAGGTGCTAGTCCATAGAGGCACTTGAATGTTAATAACATAATTTTATATTTCATTCTGCATTTTTCTGGCAACCAGTGAACACCTTTTAAAACAAGAGTAAAGTGACAGATAAGAGGGGTATTACATGTAGTTACAAGTTTGGCAGCAGCATTTTGAACTCTTTGAAGTTTATTAATGTGAAATTGAATAGTAGGAAGGCCGTATAATAGGCTGTTGCAGTAGTCCAATTTACTGGTACATATAATGAATACATGACTTGTATAAGGGGTATATCAGTTTGATGAAACAGATACTTTGTCATCCTACGTGATATGGTACAGTGTATAATGAAAAGACGAGCTGCAGATACTATTGACATGACTAAGCATAATTATCTAGATTAGAGTCAAACTATGATCCCAAGTTTTTTACTTGTTTTGAAGGACGTATCCGAGATTCACCAACAATAAGGTGTGAGATCTTTACTTTCTCAAGGTGTTGTCCTGTTCCAAGGATAAGAAATTCTGAGGATTAAGTTTTAGTTTATTTATTGGCATCCAGTTGTCTACATCGTGGATACAGAATTGTATAGATGACAGAGCAACAGTTTCGTTAGCGTAATCACCAGGTTTAAAGGCCAAATATAACTGAGTATCAGCACAGGCACGTAGCTTGACCAAGTGTTTAATAACAACGTTGAACAGCTTACTGGAATAAATGATGAATAACAGAGGACCTAGACAACTGCCTTGGGGAGCCCAAAATCAATACTAAACCAGTCTGACAATATGCCATCAACTACAGCTTTCTGAGAGCAATTTGATAAGTATGAAGCGAGTACTAGGATTTTCTAGACACACCAAATTCTGTGCATAGACGCTTTAGGGTAATTTTATGGTCAACCATATCAAAGGCGGCACAGAGGTCCAGAAGGATAACAAGAGAATTTGAGTTTCAAGCATCAAACACTTTAGAAATTGTGCCAAACTAGCTTCCTCCCCTTCTCCCCCCACCCCCACCCCCCCATAGAGTCCAATGAGATTCGGCAGAAGTGGAAATCGACCTTAACAACAACTTTTTCCTCTGTTCTCTGTTTTCACTGTCATGCCATCAAAAACAAAAATGCAAACTATTGGGTACAGAAATTCTAGAATCTGGCAAATGAAAGAGGATAAATAATGCTAAAAGCGTTGCCAAGAATCAGGTCTGTGCGATATTTCATATGCAAGATATTTGGAAAAACTTTTTACGTAAATTTACAGTATAAAGCTTTGTATGGAGGTACCATGTTGGTGTCCCTTTGAAGGGCACAAATATAGCTGCCGGTAACTAACAGAAACATCTGTTTTTTAGTTTTCCTACAACTAACAAATGCATGAAATTATTGCTTGAGGAACACATAAAGATTAAAGTAATATTAATTTTGTTCAGAGACAAGGAATGTTTAGATAGCAAAATCTCAAAATATTGGTAATGTCTTTTACCCACATAAGAGCTTTCCTGGCTGCCAGCTAAATGTCACATCACACAAAATCTGGGAAATTCAAGCATCCTCTTACTATTTCTTTTTGTAAATAAAGGTGTTTAGGTGCTCTAATACCTCATGAAAGTAGGAACTCAGACGAATCGATAGCTTCTTAGTTTGAATTTTTGTGATTTCATGTGAAAACTGAGAATTGATTTTTATCAATTTTCAGTTTAATCAACTGATTTTATCAGTAGTTATCGATTATAATCGATTGTTGACATTATTGATTGCATTGGCCAGGGACTGATATATAGTTGATAGCAATAATGATTACTGTATCTGAATTGTAAGTCTAAACTACTGTTTCATTCAAAAGGTATGGCTGTTTCGTTTACAAGTATAAATCAAAATGCACTGTAAAAACAATACACATCTGTAATTATTTATGTATAACAAGATGAAACCAGGTGGAAAGGGCACAGTTGTCGTTTGATATTCATTTGTTACCAAATAAAATAGATAGCATTCCTAGAAATAATAGTTTGCTGTTCTGTTAAAAAGACCCCTTGAAATTCATGGCTTTATATTAGCTACACTTATCAGTCTTTCTCAGACTAGATCAAGACTATGATTTGCGTTTAGTCAACAATTTGTTTGGTTATCTAAGAGAATCAAACAAAATCAAACAGTTCAGTGCAGTTTTGCTTGACTTGTTTGATAATCAAACTCACAAAGGATTCCTTGTTTGATTTTATTCGATTGCCAAAATCAAATTCAATCAAAAGATTAAACTGTACATCTGATTGAATTCAATTGAATTGGATTGAAATTTTGTTTGGTTTTGTTGCATTACAGTGTAGATATGCCGGCAGACATGTCCAACATTTCATGATGCCACCACTGGATGGTTTCCCCATGAAATGATGTCTGAGTGAGTAACCAGCACAGGAATTCTTAAGCTGACTAGAAATTTTACAGATCCAGGTAGTGCTTCTGACAGGCTGAAAATTTGCTTCATTCATCAGAAGTACTAGCAGGATCTGGATGGTAGATTATGTACATGTAGGTTGTGATGTGCCATAAGTATGGAATTTCTGCGCTCATTCAGGACTCAGATGTCATTTCATGGTGAAACCAGTAGTGGCGTTGCCAAATGTCAGCTGATTTCCCAGGCTACATTGTACCTTATCATCAACCTACATATGCAGGTCACACAGCTGTAAAATCTCAAATCTCAAATCTTTATTTTAAGATGGTAAAACATTCATCAGGTTTTTTGTTACATGTAAAGTATAACTACATAACAATATTTAATAATAATAAATACATATCTAAAGAGTAAACTATACCTGTTTTCCATGAATGCCATGTATCTAACTTAATTAACTAAAATAAAAGTTTAACAATTGCTTAAAACGATTTATAGATTTCTCTTGCCTAAGATTGCAGGGCAGACTGTTCCAGAGAGTTGCACCTCTATAGCTAAAGCTCCTTTTTTGGTAGTTGGTTCTTGGTAAAGGGACATTTAATTATTTTGTAGAGTCCCTTAAGACAAAGCCTGACGTACTGCACTCAGTAAACGTAGAGGATAAATAGTCAGGAAGCAGATCATTAAGAGCTTTGAACACCATTAAAGCTACTTGAATTTGACGCTGGGTGATCAGGTCTTTCCAACCAAGTTGTTGTAACAAGTAGCAAGTGTCAGCATCAAAGGAGGAGGAAGTCAAAATGCGAGCAGCACGATTCTGCAGTTTTTGTAATTTTTCAGAGAGAGTTTTGCTGCAATTACCCCAGGCAATACTACAGTAATCGAAATGGGTTTGTACCAAGGCATTGTAGATGTAATGTAGTATTTCTGGCAAAATAAAAGGTCTAATTTGCTTTATGGCGCCAATGCCGGAGGCAATCTTTTTGGATAGTTTGTCAATATGACTATGCCATGCCATGTTACTAATTCACTTGGGATTCTCATTGATAATAGTTGAAACTTGCTTTATAGGGATATTATCTACTGAAAGTTCAAGGGATTCAGATAATGTACTCAGTTTTTGTCTAAAACCAATTAACATAAACTCGGTTTTACTTGAATTCAGAGTAAGTTTGTTGCAGAGAAGCCATGTGTGGATGTTACTTACATGTAAATCACGATTCAGACTAGACTGCATTGAGTGTAAGTCTTCGCGAGCATATGTTATGTGGGTGTCGTCTGCATACATCCTAGGTTGGCAGGACGACAAACAGTTTGGCAAATCATTGTTATAGATCAAAAATAGAAGAGGACCAAGGATAGTTCCCTGAGGGACCCCACAGACTAGAGAACAGACTTTAGAAAGCGAACCGTTGACTACACATTTCTGGGTACTGTTATTTAGATACGACTTAGACCAATTGTAAGCAGACTCCTGTATTCCATACAGACTAAGTTTACCTGAAAGAACATCGTGATCAACGGTATCAAATGCCCTTTTTAAGTCCAGGAAAACCACTACATTTACATTTCCGCGATCTATATCAAGAGCCCAGCTGTCAGTCGCTTCTAAGAGAGCAGTGACAGTCGAGTGCAACGAGCGGAAACCTGATTGTTGGTTGGTGATTATCTCTTCATTAGCCAAAAAACTATACAGTTGATTATACACTATTCTCTCGAATGTACTTTTCAATATTAATTTTCACAGTGAAATCAAAACCTTACAATTCATTAAGTATAAAACATTATAAAGTACATGGGAGTTAGTACTGTAGTTATCATGTAAAGCACTTTCTTAGATCTTGGCTGGATCTGGAATCAGCCAATTCAAATCACAGTTGTAGTTGATAAACACCCTGTCGTATCACATTCTTGGTTGTAATAATATTTTTACGTACACCCCAGCTTGCTTTGTTAAGATTAATTAAAACAGTGTGTGAAAAGTTTTAGGCCCTTTTTAAAAATATTTTAATATACATGTAGATACAATATAAATACTTTTTTGACTGAGGGTTTCACTAGATGTCCACAGATACAGACTGTCTAACCTTTTAAAGCCTGTAAGTATGTAAAATTGGGGTATTTTTAAGACCGACTTATCAGGCAAATGCCGAATGCACCATTTGCTACGGGGGGTCTGATTGCATATTAATTGGGATTCGGGATTTTCAAGCAAAATTGGGAGAATCCCACATGTAGATCTGGATGGTTGGACAGTGTGCTGTTAATATTATGCACATGACCCTCAGCAAAAAATAAAACAACAAAAATAAAAATTACATACATGTGTATAATCCTAGAAATTCCTATAGGCCACTGCAAAAAATACCATAATATTCTAAAACTGCTGTTTGGGTAGAGCTTCCTGTAAACCAGACGTTCACATTATCTTTTGTTCTTCACACAAAATGCACATGCAGTGCTTGTTTTCCAAAAATGGAACCCAGAGTACGTGTAGGAGGCTTGCACTAGAACCTGTAGCTTTATGTTTGATTAAAGACACCTTCCAACTCACTCCTTTCGTTGCTGTACTCCTGAACGTATAAAAAGACAATGTTGAACGTTTGCATCCAAATACACTGAGTATGCAAATTTTTGACAAACTGACCCGCATTGCACATGCAAATCGTGCACAAAAGATAATGCAAAAGTAAGGTTACAAGTACATGAAGCAGTACCCAAACGACAATTTTTCAAGAAGATTATGGTATTTTTCACAGTGGCCTATTTACAAACAATATAATATGTAGATTTCGCTAGGGCTGAAAAGGGAAGCTCCCATTGATACATTTATCATTGAAATCAAACAATAAACTTGTATTCCACAAATCAGTACTTTAGAGCACATTCATGTGACTTTTGAGCAAAAGGGCCAAGTGATTTTAGAGAAAAAAATTATTTTGCAAACAGTCCAAAAGTGAACCAAATCTTACATCAAGTTGATAGCCTTATATGTACACCCAAAAAATAGCAATCGAGGCTCTTGATAACAATAGATTAGGCCTGGAAAACAAATTCTTGGAAAAAAATCAGGCCGAATTTTTGGTTTTTGACAAGTTTTAAACTTTACAAAATCTTGCCAACAAAATCTGGGGGCATGTAAACCAACCTTTTAATATACTTTTTATACATCACATCTGAGGTGAAACGGTACTATGAGGCGCTGTTTTTATCATACAGACCTCGGACAGAATGCAGTAGTTCACAATTTTGCAATACAAATTGCACTCATTTAATATTCAGGACGATGGAAGCACGCGTGGGATTTTGGTAAAACCATTTAAAAAATTTCCAAAATCACCTATTACGGCCAGTCGGTTCTCACTCTTGACTAGCGCCAAATTTGCAGTGAGAGCTGAGTGTTTGAATGAACATTAATAGAGTTACGCTTCAACGTGATAGACGACTTATTATGTTTATTTTATGAACGATGCGTAATCTTCAAAAGCATTTGATACGCGTGGCATTTTGAGTACTCCTGCAAGCGATGTTCATGAATGACCGAAACCAAATGGCACAGCGATTAAAATTGCAAGAGAGACTACTAACAATCAATAAAAGAAATATAATTCAGTGAAACATTTACGGAGACAACAATTTTCATTCATGAGTACAAGTATTAACGTGTCTTTAAAAGTCCTGAGTCTCCAAGCTTAAAGCTTAAGTTTATGTTTTAAGCCGGTTTCCCGATGTTTGCTATTTTCAAAGATGAACTCGATGCAAGAAAATCGCTCAAAGCTTTCTTTTACAGCCAGAATTATACCAAAATATTCTTTGGAACGTTTTCCTCCTATTTGCGGCGAGGAAATGCCTAAAGGCTTTTCAAAGTTCTGTATGCTTATATCAAACCTGATGCTCGGTCAGATCATTAGGGCCATTTATACGAGGAAAAATAAGACGGGTCTTACATAAGACGCGAACTGTACCATTTATACGAGCATGTCTTATCTAATAAGACGCGTCTTAGCTAAGCCGCGTCTTATTTTAGACGAAATGTGCCGTTTATACGGAAAGTTCGCGTCTTTTGTAAGACGCGTCTTATTTTTCCTCGTATAAATGGCCCTATTGTCTCAAATCTTACAAACATGCATTAACTAAATAGCCGCATAAACTACGCTGGACTTCGTTAAATTAGATATAAAAAACAAACATCAAATACAATAATTACTCAGGCTTACCATTGGAGATGCAGCTCCTAAAAGGTATCAAGTAAGGCCAGAATCGCTTCATACTTTTCAACCCTCTTACTCATCAAGCAAAGTGAAAATCGAAAACAATGCCAGCCGAAATCGGATTTCCGACTTCGACAAGCGACGTATTTCTCAACCAAAAACTCTGGATAGCAGCTGAATTTCATTTTCTACATCCAGTGGAAAAAGACAGTGAACAACATCACAAGATGGCACAAAACTCTGTTAGCTTCAGCTGTCAAAGTAAACAAGTTTCAAGATGCTGCATAAATTCTCCGCATGAACTCACCTGTCAAATTTTGACCAATCAGAGCATAAAAATTGGACATAGAGCGTGACCAATACGTGACCATGGTGAGAAGTTAAAAGCAACTTCTTCCCTGCCTGTAATAACTGCCTGAATTTTCGCATCCGCTAGAAAGTGTGAGATTTAACATTGGTTTTCCTGTGGTACGGGCGGGCGGGCAGTGTACTGGCAGTGTACGTGGTTACCAAATTTTCTGGGATGGGTAGATTTACTTAGCTATGGGGCTCCGTTTGCGCGCGTGGGGCTCCGCTAATATAGTTGTTTGCAATGATTATGTTAATGACAGGTACGTTTTAAGGTTCAGCCAAAAATTAATGTGCTGTTTGATTGTGCCTCTTTATCCCTTTTGGGGAGTTCATTCCAGAGAAAGGAAAATACAGTGCGAGACAGGTGACAACTGATAATGCTTCTCCAATAGTGTGTTTGTTTCAAAATAAAATGATGTTTCTGTCAAAATTATGCTGCCTTATTTCTGTTGAACCTCTATTGAGCGCCGAACCTTTATTAAGCGGCCACCTAACAGTATCCCAATGGTGGCCAGCTAACTTATAATAAATAAAGATAGTACAACGCGTAATGTAATATGAAATTGAAATGTTAATTATAAGTTATGAAATGAATGGTTTTCAGTAAAAATTAATGTGTGTACAGTAAACACAGTAAAAAGAAGTTATGATGATTATACCTAGTAGATCAGCAGCAAACTCATAGAGGGCAACCCAATGGACCATTTCATTAAGTATAAAACATTATAAAGTACATGGGAGTTAGTACTGTAGTTATCATGTAAAGCACTTTCTTAGATCTTGGCTGGATCTGGAATCAGCCAATTCAAATCACAGTTGTAGTTGATAAACACCCTGTCGTATCACATTCTTGGTTGTAATAATATTTTTACGTACACCCCAGCTTGCTTTGTTAAGATTAATTAAAACAGTGTGTGAAAAGTTTTAGGCCCTTTTTAAAAATATTTTAATATACATGTAGATACAATATAAATACTTTTTTGACTGAGGGTTTCACTAGATGTCCACAGATACAGACTGTCTAACCTTTTAAAGCCTGTAAGTATGTAAAATTGGGGTATTTTTAAGACCGACTTATCAGGCAAATGCCGAATGCACCATTTGCTACGGGGGGTCTGATTGCATATTAATTGGGATTCGGGATTTTCAAGCAAAATTGGGAGAATCCCACATGTAGATCTGGATGGTTGGACAGTGTGCTGTTAATATTATGCACATGACCCTCAGCAAAAAATAAAACAACAAAAATAAAAATTAAATACATGTGTATAATCCTAGAAATTCCTATAGGCCACTGCAAAAAATACCATAATATTCTAAAACTGCTGTTTGGGTAGAGCTTCCTGTAAACTAGACGTTCACATTATCTTTTGTTCTTCACACAAAATGCACGTGCAGTGCTTGTTTTCCAAAAATGGAACCCAGAGTACGTATAGGAGGCTTGCACTAGAACCTGTAGCTTTATGTTTGATTAAAGACACCTTCCAACTCACTCCTTTCATTGCTGTACTCCGGAACGTATAAAAAGACAATGTTGAACGTTTGCATCCAAATACACTGAGTATGCAAATTTTTGACAAACTGACCCGCATTGCACATGCAAATCGTGCACAAAAGATAATGCAAAAGTAAGGTTACAAGTACATGAAGCAGTACCCAAACGACAATTTTTCAAGAAGATTATGGTATTTTTCACAGTGGCCTATTTACAAACAATATAATATGTAGATTTCGCTAGGGCTGAAAAGGGAAGCTCCCATTAATACATTTATCATTGAAATCAAACAATAAACTTGTATTCCACAAATCAGTACTTTAGAGCACATTCATGTGACTTTTGAGGAAAAGGGCCAAGTGATTTTAGAGAAAAAAATTATTTTGCAAACAGTCCAAAAGTGAACCAAATCTTACATCAAGTTGATAGCCTTATATGTACACCCAAAAAATAGCAATCGAGGCTCTTGATAACAATAGATTAGGCCTGGAAAACAAATTCTTGGAAAAAAATCAGGCCGAATTTTTGGTTTTTGACAAGTTTTAAACTTTACAAAATCTTGCCAACAAAATCTGGGGGCATGTAAACCAACCTTTTAATATACTTTTTATACATCACATCTGAGGTGAAACGGTACTATGAGGCGCTGTTTTTATCATACAGACCTCGGACAGAATGCAGTAGTTCACAATTTTGCAATACAAATTGCACTCATTTAATATTCAGGACGATGGAAGCACGCGTGGGATTTTGGTAAAACCATTTAAAAAATTTCCAAAATCACCTATTACGGCCAGTCGGTTCTCACTCTTGACTAGCGCCAAATTTGCAGTGAGAGCTGAGTGTTTGAATGAACATTAATAGAGTTACGCTTCAACGTGATAGACGACTTATTATGTTTATTTTATGAACGATGCGTAATCTTCAAAAGCATTTGATACGCGTGGCATTTTGAGTACTCCTGCAAGCGATGTTCATGAATGACCGAAAACAAATGGCACAGCGATTAAAATTGCAAGAGAGACTACTAACAATCAATAAAAGAAATATAATTCAGTGAAACATTTACGGAGACAACAATTTTCATTCATGAGTACAAGTATTAACGTGTCTTTAAAAGTCCTGAGTCTCCAAGCTTAAAGCTTAAGTTTATGTTTTAAGCCGGTTTCCCGATGTTTGCTATTTTCAAAGATGAACTCGATGCAAGAAAATCGCTCAAAGCTTTCTTTTACAGCCAGAATTATACCAAAATATTCTTTGGAACGTTTTCCTCCTATTTGCGGCGAGGAAATGCCTAAAGGCTTTTCAAAGTTCTGTATGCTTATATCAAACCTGATGCTCGGTCAGATCATTAGGGCCATTTATACGAGGAAAAATAAGACGCGTCTTACATAAGACGCGAACTGTACCATTTATACGAGCATGTCTTATCTAATAAGACGCGTCTTAGCTAAGCCGCGTCTTATTTTAGACGAAATGTGCCGTTTATACGGAAAGTTCGCGTCTTTTGTAAGACGCGTCTTATTTTTCCTCGTATAAATGGCCCTATTGTCTCAAATCTTACAAACATGCATTAACTAAATAGCCGCATAAACTACGCTGGACTTCGTTAAATTAGATATAAAAAACAAACATCAAATACAATAATTACTCAGGCTTACCATTGGAGATGCAGCTCCTAAAAGGTATCAAGTAAGGCCAGAATCGCTTCATACTTTTCAACCCTCTTACTCATCAAGCAAAGTGAAAATCGAAAACAATGCCAGCCGAAATCGGATTTCCGACTTCGACAAGCGACGTATTTCTCAACCAAAAACTCTGGATAGCAGCTGAATTTCATTTTCTACATCCAGTGGAAAAAGACAGTGAACAACATCACAAGATGGCACAAAACTCTGTTAGCTTCAGCTGTCAAAGTAAACAAGTTTCAAGATGCTGCATAAATTCTCCGCATGAACTCACCTGTCAAATTTTGACCAATCAGAGCATAAAAATTGGACATAGAGCGTGACCAATACGTGACCATGGTGAGAAGTTAAAAGCAACTTCTTCCCTGCCTGTAATAACTGCCTGAATTTTCGCATCCGCTAGAAAGTGTGAGATTTAACATTGGTTTTCCTGTGGTACGGGCGGGCGGGCAGTGTACTGGCAGTGTACGTGGTTACCAAATTTTCTGGGATGGGTAGATTTACTTAGCTATGGGGCTCCGCTTGCGCGCGTGGGGCTCCGCTAATATAGTTGTTTGCAATGATTATGTTAATGACAGGTACGTTTTAAGGTTCAGCCAAAAATTAATGTGCTGTTTGATTGTGCCTCTTTATCCCTTTTGGGGAGTTCATTCCAGAGAAAGGAAAATACAGTGCGAGACAGGTGACAACTGATAATGCTTCTCCAATAGTGTGTTTGTTTCAAAATAAAATGATGTTTCTGTCAAAATTATGCTGCCTTATTTCTGTTGAACCTCTATTGAGCGCCGAACCTTTATTAAGCGGCCACCTAACAGTATCCCAATGGTGGCCAGCTAACTTATAATAAATAAAGATAGTACAACGCGTAATGTAATATGAAATTGAAATGTTAATTATAAGTTATGAAATGAATGGTTTTCAGTAAAAATTAATGTGTGTACAGTAAACACAGTAAAAAGAAGTTATGATGATTATACCTAGTAGATCAGCAGCAAACTCATAGAGGGCAACCCAATGGACCAAACCAAAAGCCTGCAGAGAGAAGCCATGTTAGTCCACTTCATCAGGAAAAAGCAAACACTGATGGCATGGAATCAACCATAGTTAAATCGAGTGTGGCAGCTGGTTTTAGTTTTGGAGTTACAAAGGCTGAATCCTCTGCACCATTCACACAAAGGAGAAGTGGTACTCCAGTCTCTTCATTTCCAGCTGTTGCAGGGTCTGGGTCTTCTTTTCCTGTACCTGCACATGGTATGTACTATGAAATTTATAGTTAGCCTGTGTGGCAAGCGTTTGAAAGGGAAGGGGAAGAGAATTAGGGCGCGATACCACGCGCGGGGGAGGAGGGAGGAGGGGACCCTCCCTCTTTCCTCGCGCGCCCCTCGCGCCCCTCGCGTTTCTCTCGCGCCTAAAACTCTCTTTCCCAAAACTCCCTTTTCCTTCCCTTTCAAACGCCTGCCACGCAGGCTAATTTATAGTATACTCAAGACATTATACATTGCATATTTGTACAGCTTTCTCAAAAGATGTTGTCGGAGGGAAAATAATTACCTTTAAGCCAAGAAAGACCGCAAGGTAATTTGGGATTTTTATAATGACTGGCTTTCAATTCACTTTAATAGAGGTGGTGTCGGGGTATGAGGTAATAAACTAGCGGGCACTCTACACATCCCTGAGAACAATGTAGAACATTACAGCTGTATTTGAGAGAATTGTCACCTGGTATCACCTGCAGTATACTTTGGTGAGATTTATTTAATGCTTGTAAAGGAACGGTTAGTAGGAAGTGGTTTTGTTTATAATAATTCCTTGGCCTAATTCGATACCACTTTGAGGTCAACCAACAGTAGAATTGTGTAAGTAGAGCTATGACATTAGAGTTAGAGTTAACCACTTCCAAAATACTCAATTCAAGATTTTGGAAGGCCAAAATCCTGAATTCCTGAACTATGCAGATTCAAGATCGGTCGGTGCGGACTGCGGACTAGGGACTGCGGACTGCAGGCCGAGCATAAACTGTAGTCGTGGAAAGGTTTAAGGGCAAAAAAATCCCGCAAATACATGTAAACGAACACTTACTTGATGACATCTGCTTTCCCAAATCCATTCCTTTTTTTCTCTGGAATGTCGTCAATGACCCGAAAACATAATCGCAACCTTGAACCTTTTTTCCGTCTGAGAGACCTCGTGCTTCTGCTTTAGACGCGAAGTTCTCGATACAAGNAACGGTTAGTAGGAAGTGGTTTTGTTTATAATAATTCCTTGGCCTAATTCGATACCACTTTGAGGTCAACCAACAGTAGAATTGTGTAAGTAGAGCTATGACATTAGAGTTAGAGTTAACCACTTCCAAAATACTCAATTCAAGATTTTGGAAGGCCAAAATCCTGAATTCCTGAACTATGCAGATTCAAGATCGGTCGGTGCGGACTGCGGACTAGGGACTGCGGACTGCAGGCCGAGCATAAACTGTAGTCGTGGAAAGGTTTAAGGGCAAAAAAATCCCGCAAATACATGTAAACGAACACTTACTTGATGACATCTGCTTTCCCAAATCCATTCCTTTTTTTCTCTGGAATGTCGTCAATGACCCGAAAACATAATCGCAACCTTGAACCTTTTTTCCGTCTGAGAGACCTCGTGCTTCTGCTTTAGACGCGAAGTTCTCGATACAAGTGACCATGAATTGGTACAACACCACAATGTTTACGCTTAAATAAAAGCTGCTGACCCAAAATACTGTACAGAAAGAATTATGGTAATAAAAAGGCAGTAACTCGTCAAAATCTTGGGACCAATCTCTAACATACGTTCATAAAAAAGTTTGTCTTAGTTTTACTCAACAATAAGCCTTTTTGAAAAGAAACGTCTTCAGGGCTTTCTTTAAACTACCCACAGAATCGCACACTCTTAGCTCCCGTGGAAGGGCATTCCAAAGCTGGGAGGAAACATATAGAGAAATGCCCTGAACCCGTACGATTTTAAATTATAAGATTGTGTATTCAGAAGCTGCATGTTTCCTGATCTAAGGCTACGGCAAGGTCTGTAGAAGTCTAATAGATCCTGGAGATAAACAGGTTCCATACCATTCACCACTTTATATGTAAGTAACAAGATCTTAAATTTTACGCGCTGCTCAACTGGCAACCAATGAAGCTCCATTAGTACTGGTGATATGTTATCATGCTTCCTAGACAATGAAACCAGCCTAGCTGCGGAGCTCAACACGTATTGCAGGCGCTGGATCTTATACTTCGGAAGGCCATACAAGATTGCGTTACAATCATCTAACTTAGAAGTCACAAAAGCGTGCACCAAAGTCTTAGCGGTTTCCATACTGAGAACGTTCTAATTCTCGAAATTAATCTAATCGAGTGAAAAGCAGATTTACATATTTGCTCGATCTGTTTATCAAAACTATGATTGGAGTCAAAAGTAACCCTAATGTTCCTTGCATGATCAGTGGGCTTGAGGTTAGCGCTAGCTCCTTGCAGACAGTCCAGGGAGGGGGCAGGCCGATGCTTGGCGTGGAAGACTAGGACCACTATATACAGGCAAAAAAATAATGGAAATGCGCTTTGGGGAAGTAAAAGGGTGACTGCGTCCTCTATAACATACAGGTGGCTGCTATTTACCGGTCAACTTTACAGAAAATATAAAGCGAAATTTTCGGGAAATTGTCTGGTGACAGTTATAGTAGTAGGGTTGAAGTCGAAATGTAAGCACTTTCTGCGAGTCCTTGGTTGGTAGGCGTGCTAAGGGCTTGCAAAAAGTGGCCACATTTTATGACTCTGACTCTACTACTTGTGCGGTGGAGCGGAAGCACATCTTCGTGGGAGAATGACCTTGCTGCTGACACCACACACCCCTGCAATTAGTGGTAATATCTTTTCTGCCACCAACCCACCGCAAGAGAAGGGCAGCCCTGGCAAAAATTGCGCTGGTCATAACCCCGCTGTGGGGGCAAGCAAAATGGCAACGCCCCGCTAACACTTTGTTGCCTGATTCGTCGTCAACAGAGAGAAAACACCCCTGTTAGACATTGGCATCATTGCTGCACAGAACGCTCTGATGGTGGACTGGGATGTAGGATCATCTTACAAGCCGTTCTTGATGAGTTTCTGGTTTAGCCTGTCGCTCGGACTATGTACGCAGAAACAGGGGAAGACGTTTTTCTGAATCCGGCAAGGGAGCCACCCCTAAGGGAGTATCACCCAAACCAGCCAAAGCGAACCAAAAACATTCGGGGCACTAAACCCACGGGTGGGGTGGAAAGATTTGATCCTTTTCACTCAACGCACTATTATGCAGAAGCGGAGGCTACAACAAAGTGGGTAAATCTGTTGGAAAGGCACATGGAGCCTAAACTTCCGAACTGGTACGAAGCCCTGATTGCAGAATTTGCTTGTGAGGTCGAAAAGGAAAGGGGCTGAATATTCACAAAATGGCGGTTTTTTCGTGATGTGAACAAAGATTTGACCACAAAGGCGTTTCGGGAGATCGAATAAAAAAATGGTGAGAAACAGTTTTGTCATTGAACACAGCTATGCCTATCAGTTCCGGAACATGAAGACATGGGACACAATGGCCTATTAACAAAACCGAAGAAGCCCCTGGTTCGAATGAATGCCAGAAGCGAGGCGATGGCTAGAAGATCAGGAAGAAAACCACCTCCAGGACGAAAACAGAGATTGCCCCAACAGGAAATGGAGGTTTTGGAATCATCTTATGATAGAGATGAAACTCATCGAGGACCTGCAACCACCACTGCATGTTGGAGTGGGGCGTTTGCTGGATATGTACACCGGCGATCTCTGTATTTTTAGATGCATCACGGTCCATCGAGGAGGGCATCATCAAAACAACACGAGAAAAATTCGTGAGCTTGCCGCAAGTTTTTTTGATAAGAATAGAATTTGATAGGGGCAGCTCCACAAAGGGCGTTCCTCGTTGATCGAAAGCTATTTCCAGCAGGGGATTGCTGGAAACAAGGTTGACAACGAAGGGACCTTTTTGTTGAAATATCTGCTTTTGCACTTGGACAAGATCGAGGTGCCCCGGATGAACATCAGCATCTAAGAAAACTATGCATTCTTGATAACGAATCTCGACAAAGTGTTGAACCACTATGTGTGTGCCGATTGTCAAGCAAGATTCACCAAAGCATGCAACCTGCAGCGGCATGCAGAAGTTTGTACGAGAGGAGTAACCGTGGTGGTTTGCTGAGTAGAGTAAATCTATGTGCCCGAGGCTACCTATAAAAACACCTTTTTATGTGAAGGGGACTTGTGCGGGAATGACGGTAAGCTGGATGGAGCATGAGGCCTGGCAGAGGGGTGTGCATATCCATCACTCAATGTATGGCCACGGTGGGGAAAGGATGATTGCAGGATATCCAGTGGATGCTTTTTGCCTGGAAGCAAAAACGGTGTTCCAGTTCCACAGCTGCCATTGGCATGGCTGTCCAGAGTGCTTGGTGTGGTTTCAAGATTTGGAGGAGATTGGCGACGTGTGTAAAATGGAGACGCGAAAGCGCCAAGTGGATATCACGGGCCCTTCTAGGTGGGGATTGCGGTCTACGAGATGGCCAAGCTCAGGGTGTGCGGTTTTACTACTTACTGTCTGGACAAGTTCCTCCACAGGCGTGATTACAAGCTGATCGAGATGGACACCGACAGCCTGTACTTAGGGCTGTCGTGTGATTGTCTGGAAAAGGCGGTGTACCCCGCCACGGCGGAAAAGTTGCGAACCTGCAAAAAGGAATGGTTTGCGTGGGACAAATGGAGTGCTCGAGAGCCGGGACTTTTCAAGCTGGAATTCGAGGGCATTCACAGAATCACACTGTGCAGCAAGTGTTGTTTCATGGAATATTAGAAAGGAGAGGCGAAAGTGTCCTCGATGGGGAACTCAAAGCGCCGAAACAAAATGCACTAGGAGCGGTACAAAGCCGTGCTGGAGGGGGCGGAGGGGGGCATAGATTCCGCTATGAACAGAGGAATGAGAATGAATGGAGGGGTGATGTGCACCTAGCAGCAAAAAAGCGAATTTTTTCGCGTCGCTGTCTTTGTATCCTCAAGCCATTCTCCCTCTTCCTCTTCCTCACTCCGTTCGTCAAACAACAGACCAAATTTGATTTCCTCAATCTATTCTGGAAAGTTGTGGACAACAGGCTCCACCAAATCTCCTCACGGATCAATAAGGTCGTTTTGTGTAGCCATTATACAGACAATAAATTATGCCAATGTCTAGTAGGCGCTGGTCCCTACTGCTTGGTTATGGCCAGCACAGTTTATGCCAGGGCTGCCATTCTCCTGCGGTGGGGCGGCGGCCCAAAAAAATGTGATTACTTTTTGCTGGGGTTGTGTGGTGTCGGGGGTGTGTGGTGAAGTCATTCTCTCGTGAAGATGTGCTTCCGCTCCACTGCACAAGTAGTAGGGTCGGAGTCATAAAATGTAGCCACTTTTTGCCAGCCCTTAGTCGACAGTCGAGCTGGCTACCCCGATCAAAAAGCGCTCGCAAAAAGTTGTTACTTTTGACTCAACTATTGCAATAATAAGGTGACCACTATATACATGTACAGGGCCCGGTTCCTGAAAGGCCAATTAGCGCTAATCCAGGATTAAAATTTTGTCCCACTTTTTGTATTTATCTTCCTATTCAATGCTTAGAGTGACATTTTGTGTTATCATTTTGTTTTTCGAAGGAAAGGCACAACAGTATTTTGTAAGCTCGAGTAACATGTTCTTAAACAAGGAAACCTTGCTTAAAATTTGGCTTAATCCTGGGTTAAACTTAAGCGTCTTTCGAGGAACCGGGCCCCGGGCAATTAGGTTTGACTGTATTCAAGGCACCAAATGAATCCTCTTCATAGGTCATAGAAGAGTGTTGGATGAGTAATGGTGGCAGTTTCTAGTGCCATGAAAAGAAAGAAGTAGTTTGCTCATGAAATAAAAATGATGCTCAGCAGAGCTTAGAGAAGGAAAAAAAATCAAAAATAATGTAAAATTAAAATAAAAGGTTTTAGCTTTTTTTATGTATGATGACTTTTCTAGGTGAATCAAAGTCTGCATCATCAGCTGACAGTAATTTTGGATCAGGGTTTAGGTTGAGTTCATCCACAGCACAGACTTCTTGGAGTTCACCTCTTGCACCGTCCTCTTTATCGTCGCTCATAACATCCCAACCATTAAACCCTATCTTTGGTCCAGATTTTAATGAAAGTACTTTTTCGACATCTGTGCCTTCATCTTCAGGTGTTTCAAACGCTAGATTCCATTTTGAGGTGGGTGATGGTTTAGTGACAGAGCCATCTTCGACCAATCTGACCTTTGGGAGCTTTAGCAACAGGGACACTTTTACTAGTTCTTCAGAAAACAGTAATTCCTTGATGTCAAGCCAAGGTTTTGCTGATACCAGTGAAATGAAGACAACTACTACATCTTTAGCTTTTGGAGTGGAAGGAAAAACAAGTGATTCTTCTGCTGTTGCTAAACCCCTTTTCCCAACAGTGTCATCATCTTCCTCCACATTGAATGCTGCAAAGGCGGACAAAGGAAAATCAGGAGCAGGATTGTTTGTTCGTTCCTTCGCCTTTGCAAAAGAAGGCCTTCAACAAAATGAATACAAGGAAAAATCCGTTGTTAAGACAACAGGTCTTGGTAGTACTGCCAATCTGACTTCATTAGTCATAAAGGATATCCCTGAGATGTACAACAAGAATACATGGTTGAAGAAATTCTATTCCCGTTTTGGGGAGGTGATTAAAGTAGTGTGCTCTACTGCCAGACAGAGTGCAACAGTAACTTTTAAAGCACATGTGAGTACTAGAAAGTATTTTGATATTAGTGTTACCTGTATGTTTCCAGCTGTAAGCTGTTACGTCTCCTCTAAGTATAAGTGTATATGAGTCCACAGAGCAGCTGCACATATATTTTTTAATGGAATAATTTTGCACCTAGAAATAGTGTTCCTATGGACAGGTGTATATATCCTCCTCCAGGACATCGTTTGTAGTATGGAGATGTATGTACTACTTTTCTCACAGCATTTTTACGTGAATTTTTATCGATACATGTCAACCAGGAGAGATGAGAGTTCCCAAAACTAGATTTTCATTTACTGAGTTTAAAGATCAAGGGTAAGTACCAATATATGTATTATTTTATGAACAGTATGTCAGCTGGATTGCAATTTTGAAATACGTTTGTTCTCAGGAAGCTGCTGAGGCTGCTAAGAAAAAGGGAAAGATTCTGAAACCAGGATTACCTCCTGTGATGATTTTCTGGAAACAGCGACGAAGGAGTGCAGCATCAGGTATTATTTGTTTCTTCCTTTTTAATTTACATGACATCTCGTTCACCAAGGTCTGGAAGGGTATTTTCAGTATCCAGGATTTGACCAAAATATGGTGTGGCATTCGGCAAAATGGAAGATATCTTTACGGGAAACGCGATTTGACTGCTTCCGCGAAGTGGGATTCGACACCAGAATTTGGGCACGGGATGCAAGATTGTTTTGCCGTCTGAAGAGAATTTGGGACTTACGTTCTTGCGGAAAATGCGAAGTCCAACAGGCAAGCAATCAGTGGTGTTCCCTTTAAAAGCAAAGTATGGAGTGATCTAGGTAATGATTAGATAATTGAAACTGTCGAGTACATGTAATCAATAGACGAGCAGACGGAAGACCCACCGTTTCACGAGATGCGAGAAAAGAACACTTAGTGCTAGCATACCAGTTTTGAATGACTTAATGCTGACAGTTGTATGTCTTTACAATGGCACTAGTAGAACCGGGCCACCTACACACAGTTGACCCATCGGATTACAGGAAAATAACAATACATTCCGATAAAGTTAGTTGTCAATCATGATTACCACAAAACGAAATAAACAACATGGGTCGAAATCAACCAATTACAACCCACGGACATGACCTTTTGAACCTGCTGAAAAAAGCACGTGTTTCCCGAGAGATCCGTTATATTGAGTGATGGAAGCGAAAAACGTAAACGGTAGTTATATTTTTGGCTTGTGGTCGCATGTTATTGCAAAGCGCGGTAATAGGAGCCAAGAAATTGCTGGTAGATGACAAAATAGTAGCTTGTGTCAAAGAAATATGTCTCCTGGGTGTTGTGTGCAAAGTTCGAACAGGAAAACATTGTCTGGTGAAACACTTTACTTTCCTGAAAAACGTTTGCTATTAATATTAAATTTTGTGCCTCGAGTAACTTATTGTTTTTTTTACAAGCTGCTGATTGGCCGAAAAACCAACTTTTTTGGAATGTATTGTTATTTTCCTGTAATACGATTGGTCACCTTTCTCAAAGTGGCCCTGAGTAAAAGTAGTCGCACTGTAATTGTTCAAACTCTTTACCTTTATCATTTTCCTTGAAGAAAATATTTGATCAGTTAACCTTTAGACATGGCCAACAGTGCAGTGATCCCAGCCGGTCTACTACTTTGAATAAGACATTCAGAGTTTGGTTTTGTTATTTCTTGCGTCCACAGGTCAAAATATTATTATAATATGCAAGGCAAAATTAAAAATTATGGCAAATTAAAAAATAATAGATGTTACATACATACATAAACTTTATTTTTCCTCGAATTTAAGAGTGGTTTAAGGAGCTACATGTAATATTTCCATTGCTGTATTGTAATTATGATCACCTCCTTTATACTATTTAATTTCATAAGAAGAAAACATTTAACAGGGTCCGAAATTGCGCCTTCCTGGTCGCCAATGCGACTAAAAATTTAGTCCTGGCGACCAGAATTTCATAGCTGGTCGCCAGCTAACGACTTGTAAAGCTGGTTGTTATTGTGGACTTAAACGTTCGGAGAAACTGATTAAGAATTGAAACCTCGAATAGCTATTTGCCAACAGGTGTCTTCCTTTTTGTCCTGCTGATATTTTTTAATTAAAAGGGAAACGAATCTTCCTGTAATAATACCTCCACAACAGCTACGATCAATACGAGTTGACATTTCCAAGCCGCCATTACGAGTAATGTGGCACAAAAAAAATGTGGCCTGGTACGAGCAACATGGCGGCTATGCATCGTGGTTGTTTTGTGGATTGTTTTGTGGTAGTTATCGGAAGAAAATAGTTTTGATATGATCCGGTACAGTCATGGGCAGACAGCTTTCTATTCCTACGTTCTAGATCAGATGGCTTTACATGTATATCTCCAAAAAGTAATTTGTGGAAAAAATGAGACTTCACTCGTACACGTACGGTTTCTTTCAGGTATCGGGAGCGAAAGTATTGCAATTTTTAAGCACAAAAACGTCCATACCATGCATTTTTTATTCGTGTTTAAACTTTTATTTGAAAAAAAGGGAGGGGGAATTTTTGGCGACCACAATTTACCCTCTGGCGACCAAAAATTTATACTTGATCGCCAGTTGGCGCTCGTATTAAAAAGTTAATTTCGGACCCTGATTTATCAGATACATGTATAATTTTAAGCACTAAGCAACAGCCTGTACATCTGTTCTTAAATTAAGTAAATTAATTAATGAATGTTAATACTGTGTGTGTCAGAGAGTGATGAGCAGAGGAAAGATGTTGGCAAGTCTGTTGGTGAAAGTCCCGCGAAAGCTGTATTAAGAAAGGTAAGTCTTGTATAAGACTAGGTACAGCCAGTGATTTTGTTACCTCTGCTTCCTGCGTCCCTGCGTCCGACGCGAAATAATTCATGGCATGTTTAATTGCGCAATTTGTAACAATCATCGCACTTTGTAGTACCTGTCTCAATTTGTAATAAATCCATTGCACTTCGTAATACCTGTCGCAATTTGTAATAAACCGTGTCGCACTTTGTAATAAAAAAGCTGTCGTAATTTGTAATAACTGTCCATCGCACTTTGTAATAAACTAAGCTGTCGCAATTTGTAATAATTCGATCGCATTGTGTTATAATGTTTTGAGAGTGATTCAACTTACTTCGTCAACATTAATATAATGCTAAGATGTGCATGGTACTTCATAAACAAAGATGATGATATCTGCTAGCACGTAACATCTATGTAACATTTTCTTTGGTCAAACATGCATGTCTTCCGCTATAAATTTTTTTGCCTTGATTTATCACGTGACCAACTAGAATCGCTTCTATGAAAGACATGAAACTTCCTGTGACATACCACCAAAAAGATATGAATCATGTTTAAATTCAAAAATATTTAAATAACAACATTTATCAGAAAATTCATGAATAATCTAGTATTCGTCGTCGAAATCCATGTTTGCTTGCCATGTGACACGTGATGTCTGGGGGGGGGGGGGGGGGGGGGGGGAAAAGGGGTGAAGGCCCGCCTGGCGGTTTTTTTTTTTGTGAGTTTTTGTGTTTTCAACAAACATTTTTTTTTTTTTTTTTCTAAAAAAACTATTATTGATTAGTATCAAAAAAAGATTAATTGCGACAGAACTTTTTTTTTTTGTCTTTTTTGTAAGAGGAGGGAAGCATAAAGAAAAAAAAAAAATACAGTAGTCGTTT